AGCTACGGGCCGCGCGGAGCCGCTTTGAAAGGGCTCGCTGGCCAATCAAAAACAGACAGCCACGGACCCATGGTGCACTGCTTGGGAGCGCCGGATTGGCTCCCAGGCACCAGCACTCCAGCAGCCTCCACCCCATTAACGAAACGAGCGGAGGCTCGTTAAAACTATGGGGGCTGCTGGTTCGATATTTAAAAACCCTTCCGGGTTTGGAAATATGTTTCGATATCGCTTCGGAAATGCCAAAAATAACGAATTAATAACGAATTAACGAATTAACGAACGAAACCGCACAGGCCTACCTTTCACACAAAATGGAAAAAGAAACCATATATGCTCATTCCAGATTAAGTGCTTCATTGTGCAAGTACTCTGTGATAGTCTCTGGATTTTATGATGAAGACAGTGTTTTCTTCCACTGGTATTTATTCGTGACCAGCTGTACCCACCACATGTTGCTGTGGCCAACCTTCCCTCTTTCTCTCCTTTTTTTCTCTCCTTCCTTCCCTCCCTCCTCCATTTTCGCCTTTCTTCCTTCTCTGCCTATTCTTGGACTGTAACACCCAGTAGTCCTCCTGATCGCTCTATCTACCTACTATCTATCTTTATCTATCTTATCTACCTGGGGATCACAACCAGACACAGTGAAGACATCTGCCCTTGCGCTGTGCTACTCTGCTGCTGAGTATGCATGCCCAGTGTGGAACACATCTCACCACACTAAAATAGTGGATGTGGCTCTTAATGAGACATGCCGCATTATCACGGGGTGTCTGCGCCCTACACCACTGGAGAAATTACACTGCTTAGCCGGTATTGCACCACCTGACATCCGCCGGGAAGTAGCAGCCAATAGTGAAAGGACTAAGGCAGAGACATCTCCAGCTCATCCCTGTTTGGGTATCAGCCAGCACGTCAACGACTTAAATCAAGAATAGTTTTCTAAGATCTACAGAGACACTCGCTGGAACACCTCAGCAAGCGAGAGTCCAAAAATGGCAGGCTCAAACCCAGAACCTCAACCAATGGCTGATACCAAATGAGAGACTCCCCCCTGGGCACACAGAGGACTGGGCGACTTGGAAGGCGCTGAACAGACTGCGCTCTGGCACCACGAGATGCAGAGCCAACCTTCAGAAATGGGGCCACAAAGTGGAATCCAACATGCGAGTGCGGAGAAGAGCAAACCACTGACCACCTGCTGCAATGCACCGAGCCCTGCCACATGCACAATGGAGGACCTCCTTGCGGCAACACCAGAGCACTCCAAGGGGCCAGAGACTGGTCAAAGGACATTTAATCCACTACCAAACTCACAAATTTCGTATTTTGTCTGTTCTTTTTGCTTTGTTCTGTTAGAAATGTAATATAATTGACTGGTTGCACTGACACGATAAAAAAATTTAAAAAATCTACCTGGAGGATTGCTGGGAGTTACAGTCCAGGAATAGGAAATATGCAGGGATTGGGATGCTCTCAAAAAATCCAAGGAGAAGCAATAATCTATATAAATAAAAATATAATGTTCGTTTGTGGGATTAACGTAAGAAGAGAAGGCTGAGAGGAGATATGATGATCGCCATGTATAAATATGTGAGAGGAAGCCACAGGGAGGAGGAGGGAGCAAGCTTGTTTTCTGCTTCCCTGAAGACTAGGATGCAATGGAACAATGGCTTCAAACTACAAGAAAGGAGATTCCATCTGAACATGAGGAAGAACTTCCTGACTGTGAGAGCCGTTCAGCAGTGGAACTCTCTGCCCCAGAGTGTGGTGGAGGCTCCTTCTTTGGAAGCTTTTAAACAGAGGCTGGATGGCCATCTGTCGGGAGTGATTTGAATGCAATATTCCTGCTTCTTGGCAGAATGGGGTTGGACTGGATGATGGCCCAGGAGGTCTCTTCCAACTCTTGGATTCTAGGATTCTACAGGAAAGGAGATTCCATCTGAACATGAGGAAGAACTTCCTGACTGTGAGAGCCGTTCAGCAGTGGAACTCTCTGCCCCGGAGTGTGGTGGAGGCTCCTTCTTTGGAAGCTTTTAAACAGAGGCTGGATGGCCATCTGTCAGGGGTGATTTGAATGCAATATTCCTGCTTCTTGGCAGAATGGGGTTGGACTGGATGGCCCAGGAGGTCTCTTCCAACTCTTGGATTCTATGATTCTATGATTCTATAACTCAAAAACCACTGGACGAATTGACACCAAATTTGGACACAAGACACCTACTAACCACTTTAAAAATGATTTTTTTTCATTTGGGAGTTGTAATTGATGGGATTTATAGTTTATTTAAAGTCAAAGACCATTCCGCATTCCACCAATGATGGAATTGAACCAAACGTGGCACACAGAACTCCCCTGACCAATGCTGCGTTTGGTGGTCCCTCTGTAGACTTGTCCACAGCTGCATGGTATACGGTAGACTCCTGCAGAGGTGAGAGGATCCCTCTTGTCCTACATAGGGACCACCAAACGCAGAAATGCCCAAACACAAATCAAGGAACATGAAAGGCACTGCAGACTCCTTCAACCAGAGAAGTCAGCCATACCAGAGCACCTGATGAACCAGCTTGGACACAGCATATTATTTGAGAACACAGAAATGCTGGACCACACCAACAACCACCATGTCAGGCTACACAGAGAAGCCATTGAAATACACAAGAAGCATGTGGACAATTTCAACAGAAAGGAGAAAACCATGCAAATGAACAAAATCTGGCTACCAGTATTAAAAAAACTCTAAAATTACAACAGCAAAACAGCAGAGAGGAAACAACCAGGCACAGATTAACACCTCTCAACAAAAGATTGCTCCAGGCACTGTCAGGCCATTATATGCTAATCAAGGTGGTCAGTTGAAACATTCACACCTAGCTCCAGCAGACAATGAGCACCAGAGTCCCAGAGTCAGACAAAAAACTCTAAAATTACAACAGCAAAACAGCAGAGAGGAAACAACCAGGCACAGATTAACACCTCTCAACAAAAGATTCCCCCAGGCTCAGCCAGGCCTTCAAATGCTAATGAAGGTGGTCAGTTGAAACATTCACAATTAGCTCCAGCAGAGAAGAGTTCTTTGTCCCACCCTCGTCATTCCACAGATATATAAAACCCATTTTCCTAATTCCAACAGACCTCACTACCTCTGAGGATGCTTGCCATAGATGCAGGCGAAACGTCAGGAGGGAATGCCTCTAGAACGTGACCTTATAGCCCGAAAAAACCCACAAGAACCTAGTGATTCCAGCCATGAAAGCCTTCGACAATACAAGCTGGCTATTCCTTCCTGTTTTGGTACAGAAAAGAGATGTTTCGGATCTGGTCACAAGACTGTCCAAGGACGGCCACAGCTTGCTTCACATGGAACATTCGAGTTGCTCAGAGGAAAGCAGAAGGAGACTTGTATCTTGAAAAGCACGGGGGTAAAAATACCGTTGTTTCTTTCACAGCCTGGCAAAATGGAGAAATGGAAACGCAACAGAAGGGAAGTGGAGCTGGAATCCTGATTCCCTTCCCTAAATGGATGGGCCCTCTCTATTGATTGATTTCAAAATAGAATTAAAAAAAAAATAAGGTCAAAAATGGAAGCAGCCAGGCCTTTCCCACACGATCTGAACTGCACTATCTCAATGCTAGGAAATCCTGGGAGTTGTAGTCTAACACTTTTCGACAGAGACGGGTAAGACCTTGTAAAACTACCGCTCCCATGGATCCATGGCACTTAAAGAGGTGCCAAAGTGCATTCGTTTTGCAGCATAGATCAATGTTTCTCAACTTTCCTAATGCCGGGACCCCTTAATACATTTCTTCAAGTTGTGGTGACCCTCAACCAAAATTTTGCTACTGTCATGAATCGTAATGTAAATATTTGATATGTAGGATGTATCCTTGAAGCGACTGGATTGACCTTGAAGGAGCTGGGGGTGGTGACGGCCGACAGGGAGCTCTGGCGTGGGCTGGTCCATGAGGTCACGAAGAGTCGGAAACGACTGAACAAATGAACAACAACAACAGGATGTATTTTAATTCACTGGACAACATTTATTACAAATACCCAAAATGCCCAAAGTTGAATACTGGTGGGGTTGGGGGGAGGATTGATTTTGTCATTTGGGAGTTGTAGTTGCTGGGATTTATAGTTCACCTCCAATCAAAGAACATTCTGAACTCCACCAATGATAGAATTGTGCCAAACTTCCCAACAGAACTCTCATGACCAACAGAAAATACTGGAAAGGTTTGGTGGGCATTGACCTTGAGTTTGGGAGTTGTAGTTCTCCTACATCCAGAGAGCACTGTGGACTCAAACAATCATAGATCTGGGCCAAACTTGGAACAGATACTCAATATGCCCAAATGTGAACACTGGTGGAGTTTGGGGAGAATAGATCTTGACATTTGTGAATTGTAGTAGCTGGGATTTATAGTTTACCGAAAATCAAAGAGCATTCTGAACTCCACCAACGATGGAATTGAACCAAGCTTGGCACACAGAATTCCCATGGCCAACAGAACATACTGAAAGGGTTTGGTGGGCATTGACCTTGAGTTTTGGAGTTGTAGTTCACCTACATCCAGAGAACGCCATGGACTCAAACAATGATGGATCTGGACCAAACTTGGCACAAATACTCAATATGCCCAAATGCGAACACTGGAGGAGTTTGGGGGAAATAGACCATGTCATTTGAGAGTTGTTGCTGGGATTTATAGTTCACCTACAATCAAAGAGCATTCTGAACTCCACCAATGATAGAATTGTGCCAAACTTCCCACACAGAAACCCCATGACCAACAGAAAATACTGTGCTTTCGGATGGTCTTTGGCGACCCCCTCCCAGTATGTGTAGCTTGGCCTCCCTGGGCACAGAAGGCGTTGGGAGAACCCAACTCCGAAGGCGCCCTGGGCTTGAGAGTCAATGCAGTTCAAGCGGGGACAAACCCGCCTCCATGCCACCGTGCGGATGCTCTGGAGAGGGCTGGCGAGAGGCGGGCGAGGCTGGCCATCCCTCCTCCCCTTTGGGGCTGGCTTTGGCAAAAGGGAAGCGGGACGAACCCGGAAAAAAAGAGGAGGCGCCGGCAAAGGAGGAGGAGGAGGAAGGAGAAGGAGGAGAAGGAGGCCCGCCGCCGGCCGGAGGGTGAGTTTGGAGAGCCAAGGAAGGGGGGATGATGGGCGCTGCGCCTCCAAAGAGGAAGAGCACAGCCGCCCTCCAAGGAGGAACAGCCAGGTCCTTTTGGGACTCCCAAAACTCCCAGATTTTTGCAAAGTCAGCTCTTCTTTGGGGGACTTCTGGACTACAACTCCCAATATCCTGCAGATCAGAGTCTCTCTTTGGAGAGGAAGGAGGCCCCATTAGGAGTAGAGCTCCCCAAATCCTGCAGACATTATAGAATAGTTTCTCTTCAGTAAAGAGAACTTTTTAACTTTACAGCTCCTGGCATCCTCTAGAGTAGAGTCTCTAAGAGGAAGGAGAGACCCTTTTTGGACTACAGCTCCCAATATCCTGCAGATCAGAGTCTCTCTTTGGGGAGGAAGGAGACCCACATTAGGAGTAGAGCTCCCCAAATCCTGCAGACATTATAGAATAGTTTCTCTTCAGTAAAGAGAACTTTTTAACTTTACAGCTCCTGGCATCCTCTAGAGTAGAGTCTCTAAGAGGAAGGAGAGACCCTTTTTGGACTACAGCTCCCAATATCCTGCAGATCAGAGTCTCTCTTTGGGGAGGAAGGAGACCCACATTAGGAGTAGAGCTCCCCAAATCCTGCAGACATTATAGAATAGTTTCTCTTCAGTAAAGAGAACTTTTTAACTTTACAGCTCCTGGCATCCTCTAGAGTAGAGTCTCTAAGAGGAAGGAGAGACCCTTTTTGGACTACAGCTCCCAATATCCTGCAGATCAGAGTCTCTCTTTGGGGAGGAAGGAGACCCACATTAGGAGTAGAGCTCCCCAAATCCTGCAGACATTATAGAATAGTTTCTCTTCAGTAAAGAGAACTTTTTAACTTTACAGCTCCTGGCATCCTCTAGAGTAGAGTCTCTTAAGAGGAAGGAGAGACTCTTTTTGGACTACAGTTCCCAATACCCTGCAGACTAGAGTCTCTCTTTGGAGAGGAGACCCTTGAGAGGAGACCCTTTTAGGAGTATAGCTACCCAAATCCTGAAGAGTAGTGTCACTCTTTGGTGAAGAGAACCTTTTAGGATTACAGTTCCTGGCATCCTCTAGAGTAGAATCTTCTAAGAGGAAGGAGAGACCCTTTTAGGACTACAACTCCCGATATCCTGCAGATTAGAGTCTCACTTTGGAGAGGAGACACTCCCCAAATCCTGCAGAGTAGAGTCGCTCTTTGGTGAAGATAACCTTTTAGGGTTACAGCTCCTGCCATCCTCTAGAGTAGAGTCTCTAAGAGGAAGGAGAGACTCTTTTAGGACTACAACTCCCGATATCCTGCAGATTAGAGTCTCACTTTGGAGAGGAGACACTCCCCAAATCCTGCAGAGTAGAGTCGCTCTTTGGTGAAGATAACCTTTTAGGATTACAGCTCCTGGCATCCTCTAGAGTAGAGTATTTAAAGAGGAAGGAGAGACCCCTTTAGGACTACAACTCCCAATATCCTGCAGAGTAGAGTCTCACTTTGGAGAGGAGACACTTTTAGGAGTATAACTCCCCAAATCCTGCAGAGTAGAGTCTCTCTTTGGTGAAGAGAACCTTTTAGGATTACAGCTCCTGGCATCCTCTAGAGTAGAGTCTCTAAGAGGAAGGAGAGACTCTTTTTGGACTACAGCTCCCAGTATCCTGCTGATCAGAGTCACTCTTTGGAGATTAGACCCTTTTAGGAGTATAACTCTCCAAATCCTGCAGAGTAGAGTTGCTCTTTGGTGAAGAGAACCTTTTAGGATTACAGTTACTGGCATCCTCTAGAGTAGTCTCTTAAGACGAAGGAGAGACCCTTTTTGGACTACAGTTCCCAGTATCCTGCAGATCAGAGTCTCTTTTTGAAGAGGAGACCCTTGATAGTATAACTCCCCAAATCCTGCAAAGTAGAGTCACTCTTTGGTGAAGAGAACCTTTTTAGGATTACAGCTCCTGCCATCCCCTAGAGAAGAGTATTTTAAGAGGAAGGAGAGACCCGTTTTGGACTACAGTTCCCAGTATCCTGCAGATTAGAGTCACTCTTTGGAGAGGAGACCCTAAACTGTTCTGGCCCAGCCTACCTATCCGAACGCATCTCTTCCTACGAACCCTCCAGGAAGTTAAGATCATCTGAGGAGGCCCTGCTCTCGATCCCGTCTGCTTCGCAAGCACGCTTGGCGGGACGAGAGACAGGGCCTTCTCTGTGGTGGCCCCTCGGCTGTGGAACTCCCTGCCTAGGGATATTAGATCAGCCCCCTCCCTCCTGACCTTTCGTAAGAGAGTGAAAACCTGGCTCTTCGAGCAGGCATTCGGAACCCCAGAATAGTCAAGCTTGAGATGGAGAATGACCCAGGAACGGCCAAGACGATGAAACGGATGAGGATTGGAATGAGAGGATAGAGCTCTTTTTAAATTGTTATTGCACTGTCTTTTTTGTCTAAATGCACTTAATTGTTTTTGCTTTTGTATTGTATTGATGGCATCGAATTGTGCTGATATGTAGACCGCCCTGAGTCACCTGCGGGCTGATATGGGCGGGATATAAGTGATGTAAATAAAATAAATAAATAAATTTTAGGAATACAGCTCTCCAAATCCTGCAAAGTAGAGTCGCTCTTTGGTGAAGAGAACCTTTTAGGATTACAGTTACTGGCATCCTCTAGAGTAGTCTTTTAAGACGAAGGAGAGACCCTTTTTGGACTACAGTTCCCAGTATCCTGCAGATCAGAGTCACTCTTTGGAGAGGAGACCCTTTTAGGAATACAGCTCCCCAAATCCTGCAGAGTAGAGTCGCTCTTTGGTGAAGAGAACCTTTTAGGATTACAGCTCCTGCCATCCTCTAGAGTAGAGTCTTTAAAGAAGAAGGAGAGATCCTTTTTGGACTACACTTCCCAGTATCCTGCAAATTAGAGTCAAAGGAGACCCTTGAGAGGAGACCCTTTTAGGAGTATTACTCCCCAAATCCTGAAGAATAGAGTCTCTCTTTGGTGAACAGAACCTTTTAGGATTACAGATCCCAGTATCCTATAGAGTAGAGTTTTTAAGTGGGAAATAGAGACCTTTTTTTAGACTACAGCTCCCAGTGTCCTGCATATTAGAGTCTCGTTTTGGAGAGGAGACTCTTTTAGGGGCATAGCTCCCCAAATCCTGCAGAGTAGAATCACTCTTTGGGGATGAGAACCTTTTAGGATTACAGCTTCCAGCATACTGCAGAGTAGAGTCTATTTAGGGGAAGAAGAGACCCTCTTTGTACTACAGTCCCCCAAATCCTGCAGAGTAGAAGTTCCTCTTTGGAGAAGAGGCGCTTTTAGGATTACAGCTCCCGGCATCCTGTAGACTAGACTCTTTTAGGGGGAAGGAGATACCCTTTTTGGACTATAGCTCCTCAAAGGTTGTAGATAGGATCGTTCTTTGGTGAAGAGAACTTACTAGGATTACTGCTCCCAGCATCCTGCAGAAGAAGATCTTATTTGGGTTGGGGAAGATAGGGAGAGACCCTTCTTGCAAAGTTGACTTTTCTTTGGGAAAGGAGAGAGGTTCTTTGTGGACTACAGCTCCCAGCATCCTGTAGATTAGCCTTTTATTTAGTGGGAGGCACCCTTTTTGGATTATGGTAGGTTGTTAGCAATTGTGGGAGTTGAAGTCCAGAACACCTGGAAGGCTGAAGTTTGCCCATGCCTGGTGTAGATGCATCCTCTGTCTTCTGAAGGATCCTACTGGAGCCTGTGTCTCTTTTCTCAACATTGCAGAGGACAGACTGGAAACTTCTCATATATTTGGCTTTGTGGGGTAGCTCAGCACTAGCTCTCCTCCTATGAAACTCAATGTTGGTGTAATGCAGTGTGAGTTGTGAATGGGCCCATGCCTGGTGTAGATGCATCCTCTGTCTTCTGAAGGATCCTCCTCGATCCTACTGGGACCTCTGTCTCTTTTCTCGACATTGCAGAGGTCAGATTGGAAACTTCCTATATGTTTGGCTTTGTGGGGTAGCTCAGTGCTAGATCTCCTCCTATGAAAGTCAAGGTTAGTGTAATGCAGTGCAAGTTGTGAATGGGCCCATGACCGGTGTAGATGCATCCTCTGTCTTCTGAAGGATCCTCCTCGATCCTATTGGAGCCTCTGTCTCTTTTCTGGAGGGCCAAAGTTTGTCCATGCCTGGTGTAAGTGCATCCTCTGTCTTTTGAAGGATCCTCCTCGATCCTATTGGAGCCTCTGTCTCAACATTGCAGAGGTCAGACTGGAAACTTCCTATATGTTTGGTTTTGTGGGGCAGCTCAGCTCTAGCTCTCCTCCTATGAAAGTCAAGATTAGTGTAATGCAGCATGAGTTGTGAATGGGCCCATGCCTGGTGTAGATGCATCCTCTGTCTTTTGAAGGATCCTCCCCGATCCTATTGCAGCCTCTGTCTCTTTCTTGACTTTGAAGAGGTCAGACTGGAAACTTCCTATATGTTTGGCTTTGTGAGGCAGCTCAGCACTGGAACTCTTCCTACGAAAGTCAATGTTGGTGTAACGCAGTGCGAGTGAATGGGCAGATACCAGGCTAGATTTGAACTTGCCAACAAACTGGCTTGGCTACTTTGGCCAGAAGCATCTTCACACCAAGCACTCATTTGCAACCGGGAATTATAATATTAGTTCCCTTTTCCAGGGGCGTTGGGAAGCTTGTACATTGAGTGTGTGTTTAAACTCTTTGAAAGCACGATTAGTTCTAGCAGTATATTAGGTTAGGTGTGGAATATGCAGCCTTAGGGTCATAGGATGAACTGGATCAAGATGGGTAGTTAGGGTGCATCCACACTGTAGAGTTAATGCAGCTTGAGACCACTTGAACTCGATGTTATGAAATCCTGGGTTTTATAATTGTATGAAGTTTGGAAGGTACCAGCAGATCATTTATTTGTCTTGTCAGGGCAACCAGTCAATTGTATTACAATTCTAACAGAACAAAACAAACAAACAGACAAAACACAAAGTTTGCAAGCTTGGTAGTTGATGAAATGTCCT